TTCTTGCCAGCAGTTATTATACCTGTGTACCTATACATGTCTAGCATACCAGTGTAAGACATGACAGGTACCTAAGACACACCAGATACTGCATGGATACTTCTAGATGTACTCTGTTGTATTAGAACTTTTAAAATAAGTAAAATTGCATGCTTTAACAAATTGTTCTATAAAAATCTTTACATGTTAGGAACAATTAAAATTGGCAAGACGCAAGTCATCAGAAATTATATTCAGTTTCAAAAATTAGATATAAAAGCATGATATAAGAATATTATATGTGATACTCATACCCATACCTGTGTGTGTGGGTACAAGTTAAGGAAAACAAGAGTTGTATCCATGTTTTCATATCTATGTCCTTGTTGGAAACCAGATCGGGATATCATAGAGCAGCAGAAATTCAAGGATACCCACATGGTGGTTAAGAAAAATCTAGAGTACATACACCTCAATATCTTCAGAAACATCAATTAAGAGTGCATTTAGATTCTATTTTAGAATATAGATTCTGCCAAATTACAATTCTAGCAATAATTTGAAGAGTTTGGTCCAAACTACAAACTTTAAATACAGATTCTATATTCAATTTTACAATGAAAACCTATCCTATAATGCATTAGCAATACAAATCTGAAATTTGGCAGTGGATTATGGCAAAATTATCAAAATCCAAATTTTATGAAATTTCATGGTTGAATTCTGGGATTTAAATTTTAGTATCTAGTTGAATTTTACAATAAAATCCGAACCCCCCCTAAGACTTATTGGATAGGGACATACAACCGAATCTCTATAAGAAAACAAAATACACTGGATGTAAGGAGAGCCCTAAGACTGTAATTACAAGGGTATACAATTCCTGAAATGAGTTCTCTCTAAAATCTAAACTACCTATGAGTTTAGAGGGCTTCATTTGGAAGGGATTTTTGGTTTTGTTAGATATTGTGAATGTTGATGTGTAGAAGTCCCAATTCTTGTATAATCACTTTGGGAACATACCTTTTGTCTCTTGTTGGAGCATATCTCTCTACACTCTTCTCCCTTCCAAAACTTTTATTTTCATTAATAACTGTCACCATTTTGCAATTCAATACTTAACCTTCTTCAAAAAAAAATTAATAAATGTCAATTTGCCATCAAAGAAATCAAAACCATCAAAACATCCAAAGTAAACATTATTATACCACAGAAACAGGAAGAAACCATCACAAAAACTTTACCACACAAAAAGGAATGAAAGGAAAACAAAAGCAGCTATCCAAAAGAATAAAAACCAGGAATTAAGGTACAGGTAAACAAACAATAATGGACATTTTATGGATCAGAAGAGGATTTGGAAAGGACACAAAGAAGACATACCTTAGAACCACTCATCTTTTCTGAAGAACCAATGTGGTCACTCATCTTTTCTGGAGAACATATTATACAAGGTGTATAATTAGAGTATGAATGACTTTAACAATACTATTCTTTAAACATGTATATTATCATTGTGTTTTATACGGTATATATTATATGTGGTTTTTGGTCTCCTTTGAAGCTGTATGGTGCCCCTTTGGCACCAATCGCACCATTTTATTGCCTAAATCAGATTACTACTAAACAAACAACTAACTCCTTCCTCGGGCTTTAGAATAAATTTTTTGAAAATCCTACCTTTTGTTCCGTTTGGAAGCTACAGGAATGAAATATATGCGGCATATCATATATGTAAAGATCCAAATGAAATAACAAATCACCAAAGAAAATGAGAAGAAATAGGAACATAGAGACAAAGAAAATTAGTTACATAGAAGAAATATAAAACAAAATTATATAAAATAGAAATGATGTATAAATTTTAGGAAAGTATGTTTTTCTCACATATTCTTCAGAACTCTGAAATCTTGAAGTAATTTCAGATTTTTATTCGTTCTGGATCATCCATTCAAGATAACAGAGGGACACTTATCTTAAGGAAGTTTTGAAGATTGATGGACAAAATACCTGATTTGAAATAAAATAAAGCTAAACATATCTCTGAGTAAAACAAGGAAAACTTTATCCTAAAAAAAAGCAAGTGGTGGAAGGAAAAAAGAAAGGAAACCTACCATATCAAATTGCCAATTTGATCTAGTCTGTAATTATCAATTAATAATTTAAAACAACAAGAAAACCATAATAAATTGGGGATAAAGCAAAAGGCATAAAACCAAATTGAATCATATTGAATAGCCTATTCAAAGTACCGCCATTCTGAGATTAAGAAAAAGGTGAAAATGGCAAACAATACTGCAACTACTATGACCATTGTTCTTAAAACTACATTAAGAATTAATAATCAACTAAAGAAGACCTTAGACATGCCATTTTAATAGAACTTAAAATCTACTGGTGATAATAAAACAAATATAAAGTAATTGTACTACTTACAGGGTCCACATTGAGTCTTTACGGGGTTGATTTCGACATACATAGATACCTCCATTGGAGATGGTTGTTGGTCTCCAGAAATCACAAATTTGACCTTTCAATTAAGGTAGACGCAAAAAAAAAAAAAAACTCAATGCGTTAGAATCAACTAAGATAACACAAAAATCAATGAGTTCAAACAGTTCATTCAACGACTTGGAGACCAGTCAAGGAGTTTTTTTATAGGTGATACCAGTCAATGAGTCGATCGATAAAAACCGCAATACCATATGAAGAGGGAAATGGAGCTTCCCGAGATGAAGCAAAATCCCCGAACTTTTCAATATGTCGTACTCGTATTTGATGAGGAGGATTATTTGCATAAACTTTATCAACTCTTTTTTCCATGATTTTATGCTTCTAATCTAAAAGCACAATGGGAGGGAACTGGGAAGAAAGAGGGGATGGGTCTGATATTAAAGTTAAGAATTTTATGTACCTGGCACTCTCATCATCTCATCCTCCTTTTCAGCAACGATTGAACAACCACCCTTGAAAGTGCTGAAAAACTCGATTTGGTTTTGTTCGTTAACGAAGCAAAAAAGTTTTCCGGACCTGTTTAAGAGGATGGATTTAGGGTTTTGCAATACAAGGATACTTTGAAGTTCCCGGTGAGGGAAATAGGAAGAAGGGTTTTGCGTTCGCCCGCCGTTTCTGTGAGAAGGAGACAGGAGAACACGATTTTTCTATTTTCCCATTTCTGTTACTTTCTCTTTGACTGTTTCCTGCTTTCGTCTATTTTCTGTAAAAAAGAGGTGGTAAAGGGAAATAATACAGAGGAAAATTTAAGTAGTCCGGAATCTGGATGGGAGGGAAAAGTGCGACAATTTTAAAAATATCGGAGAAATCTCGCAAATTTTTTTTTCATATCGGTTTTGGCTAGACGATACGATAACTCGTTAATATACTTGCATGAGTTGCATCCACAAGACCACAATTTCACATCCACCGAGCTGACTTGGAGCCTTTAGGGACACGCGGTTGTATGGGCCCAAGAGTGTCCACACTGTTTTAAGCCTCGGTCTGGGGGCCCAATCTTGAGTGGGCCTACTGAGATATGGCCACCGAAAGTCCGAAATATCGGTTGATCTCTCTTTCACAGAACACAGAAGAGATCGGTTTCCATTAGGGCAAACCTGTGCCCACACCATTCTAACAGATTTTTGCAATTTTGCATTGGGAATATCTCCTTATTTCATAAAGCACACTATTTTTCACATCCATCCGGCTTCAATCAGTGCAAAGCCCGTTCAAACAGCTTTTACAGCCTTGCATTAGGAATATTTTCATATTTCTATCTTTATTTCATGAGAAGATATCCCCAATCTAAGATTGCAAGAGGCTGTTCAAACAGTGTGAGCATGTACTTGCACTGACTGAAGCCGATCTCCGTCCAAACATATGGTCATACTCATGATCATCCAGTGGGCTGGTGGGCTGGCTGATCCACCTAGTTTATACGTTCAGGGGCATCAATTTCAATGACGGACCAATCCGAATAAGTGCATCTACTCATGTTCTTTTATTTCTCGTATAAATAAGGTAATGACCACTTTAACCCTAGGTGAAAAGGTTATTTATCCACCTAAGAGATGGGTTTCTTGATCAATGAGAATCAAAATCCAATTGACCAAATTCTACATCTCAAAATCCAAAAAAAAAGAACGACCACTAATGTTTTCACCACTCATTGGCCTGATAAAAAAACCTTAAAATTATTTTTATTTCTGAAATTTTAAGTTAATGAATGATAAACACGTCAGGGCATCCATGACTAAAAAAGAAAAAAGAAAATCCGTCGCTCCCAAAATTTAATCTTATAATTAAAAAATATGAGGTGGTTCTTCTTACCCCTTTTTAATTTGAGTTTTGTTTTTACCAATTTTTAGAGAAATCCGGTTTGGTTTCCTCCGGGTTGTGAATGAATCACCGGTTCAAGTGGCCTTGGTCCATAATTTAAACCAACTATACGTCTATACTTGATCCATATTCTCACTTCACAGTAGTAACCTGAACCTCTTTCCAAGAGCGTTTGCATGAATTCAGAATTCAGACCGCAGTACTGATGGTGTAAGACATTTGACACCACCGGAATAATCGTAACCATTTCGAATGCATGAACCCTCCTCTCAAAAATCGGATCTTCACCAAACACATTATTCGAGTTTAATTAGGATCGAGAGTCTTCGCTCTTTCAGCTCTTTGCATTGATTCAGAGTTCAGACAAGAAAATTAAGAAACAAATATGAAAGTCATCAATAAGAAGAGGCTCTTCTCTGCCAAATCTATGCCCACCATCCTGCTCTTCTTCCTACTTGTACGTAGTGCAGCTGGAGGGCCACCACCAGGAGCAAAGAGAGGCAGATGGCAGACTCTCCTAAACAACACTGGCGTAGTAGCCATGCATACGGCCTTAACCCATCGCAACACCGTCATGATATTTGACCAGACCAGAGCTGGGCGGTCGGGATACCCTCTTCGTCGAAGTCACTACGATGGAAGTAGGTGTGTGCCCTCTTCCTGGAACCCATCTGTAGACTCCTCCTGCTGGGCTCACTCAGTTGAGTATGATATCGAGGGCAACACCATCCGAGCTTTAAACCTTGAAACTGATACCTGGTGCTCCTCGGGTACCTTCTTGAGCAATGGAACCCTGCTCCAGACGGGTGGACATGGCCATGGCTACCGAAGAATCAGATACTTTGATCCTTGCACCGACCACCGGTGTGATTGGAGATCGCCAGAAGCTCTCTTATTGGCTGACAACCGATGGTATGCGTCCAACCAGATACTCCCCGAGAAGGATAGGGTCATTATCGTGGGTGGTAGAAGGGTCTTCACTTACGAATTTTTGCCCAAATTATTATCTTCTAGCAGTAGCAGCAGGGAAAGATCATTTTATCTTTCCCTCCTACGCCAAACCAACAACCGAAAGGAAGAAGGCAACAATCTCTATCCATTCCTTCACCTCTCATCCGATGGAAATTTATTCATCTTTGCAAATCGGGATTCAATTCTTCTTGATTATTGGCGAAATAAGGTGGTGAAGACCTTCCCCAGGATGCCGGGTGGTGGATCAAGGAACTACCCAAGCTCTGGTTCTTCGGTTCTAATCCCTCTAGACCACACTGATGGGTTCCAGAAGGTGGAAGTCATGGTATGTGGAGGTGCCACCACAGGAGCTTACACGGCCGCAAAACGAAAGACCTACTTGAAGGGATTGAGCTCTTGCGGCAGAATTGTGATCACAGAACAGAAACCCAGGTGGGAAATGGAGGAAATGCCAGGTCCTCGTCTTTTACATGACATTTTGATTCTGCCAACCGGTAACATACTGATCATCAATGGCGCGACACACGGATGTGCAGGGTGGAACAATGCAGCAAATCCATCTCTGGAGCCTTACCTATACAAGCCAAACAAATCGTTGGGCAGAAGGTTTTCTGTACTGAAGTCCACAAAAGTAGCTCGGTTATATCACTCGTCGGCCATTCTTCTGCCTGACGGAAGAGTTTTGGTAGCAGGAAGTAACCCTCATGCTAGGTATACCTTTAAGGACGTGAAATTTCCCACTGAACTGAGATTACAAGCATTTATCCCATACTACATGGACCAGTACTTCGATGGCAGAAGGCCAAATAATCTGTCGATACACTACTCTAATGGCGGGTACGGTGCTCGATACCGTGAAGAGTTTACCATCAAGTTTCGGCTTGATCTGCAGAGAGAACCGGACAAGGACAGCATCAAATTTAGTGCGTATTCGCCCCCCTTTACGACTCATGGTGTTTCTATGAATCAAAGGATGTTGAGGCTCAAGTGCAAGAGTATAGTTAGAGAGGACGGTGGGTGGATGAGAGCTGTTGTTGAAGCTCCTCCCTCTCCAAACGTTGCGCCTTCTGGTTATTATTTGCTTACAGTCATTAATGGTGGAATCCCAAGTATAGCACAGTGGGTTAGATTTATGCAAGAGAACTAATAAAAGCCCTAAGCTAAGGCCCAACAGGGTTGTCTATTTTGTCTTCAATTTTGCGTCGTTGTATGTATGACGTAAGTAAAATGCATGATAAATGAAAATGGATGGTTGTCTTGAAAACGTTTATGGCTTTGCAGTTGTAAGCTGGCTTTCACAATCATATTGCCAAAACCCAAAAACGTTTATTGCTCAATGTAAACACTAAACAGTATGTGCAATAAATTCAAAGGCATTATATCAACTGATTTTCTTTCTTTTTTTATTTCTAAGCACCGTTGTGTTTGCAGTTTTATGGACCAACTGCTTATATCATTCAAACAGTTGGTTTTCATTGCTTATTGCTCACTGAACTTTTGGCTTTGTGGGATGGCCCATCCAAAATGTTAATAGCAATTTTTATGGTAAAATAAAAAAAAAAGGAAAAATTCAAAGGGTCAATTTTTTTTCATGGCGCAGCTATTTTCATAGCCTATTCGATATTTCTTACAGGTTATGGCCGCGTTTGTAAATTTGCAAATATTTAAAAGTAATTAATTCTTCTCCTGAGACCTGAATTTCATTTTCCTATAAGTTTGGATCCCCATTATTCTACATGCAACCAAAGAAAGCATTATTAGTTGGTATTAGAAATACAATGGCTATTCACCATCTGGACATGGAGCGAATGGAAGTTTCAGGACCGTTTTGACAAAAGATAATGAAAATTGATCACAAAGGGCAATTTTTATTATTCAAAAGTGTAGAAGAATCAAGAATGTTATCATCTCTCATGAAGTATAACAAGCTGAACCTTTAAATTTACGAGTGCCCCCACTTAAGGAGTATTAAGTATTTAACCAAAAACACTCGCCTGTGAGAAGACGAAATATACTCTGAACATGGAATCATGTAATCACGATGACGACTGACGAGACATCATGTCTCTACAGGTCTGATCGCGAGAATAGGATTTAGCTATCCACAAGATTCTCACTTGATGCATCACGCAATATTTGAAATTTCTTGAGACTGCATCTCTCGAAACTCAGAATTTCTGGTCGTCCAAAATCAAGTAAATGGGATGATCATTATTCTGGAGTATTTTTTTTTTTTCATTCATTTTCCCCTTCCGCGGAAAACAATCAAAATAAGCCAGTCACTACTGCCCACCAAATAAAAATAATAATAATAAAGTAACAGACAACAACGTGCAGCTCTCTTGTAAATGTCAATGATGCTCAACACTAGGATTTAAAAACTAGAGAAATGTACAAGCTACCACATTTGATGATTATCTGCCCATATTTGATGATTATCTGCCCCTACAATCCATGGACTTGGTATGTAAAAAACTGAGCCAAAAACCGAACACCAGAGAGTATCATTTCAACTGAGAAGAATTTACAAAGAATCTTGACATTGGTGGTTGCTTCAGTTGTGGAGCTGAGAAATGCTTAATAAAGCCTTATTCTGGTTTGGATTGGACTACGGCAGATGGGACATAACTGAAGGTCTGGTCCACACTCGCAGCATGTCTGTGGCAATGATTCCTAAACATGTTAGCATGGCCCTTAATTTTTGTTCACAATCTCATTAAGGACTAAGTGAATAGTGAAATTACCCGGTGGCCACAGCCAAAAGCCATGTCGTTTGGATTGGTGAGGCAAATAGGGCAAACCTGTTCAAGTCCACAACAATGACTCCCAAATTTCACAGAACATTCAAATAAAACATGCATGCATTTACATATTACAAGCAATAGACTTTTGAGGTCTCCCCAAAATGACCTTATTATTCAGCGGTCAATTGCGTAGATGGACAACATGGATAACTCAGACCATTAATATGGATTAACCACATGTTCCCTTTCCCTGGTCCACCCGCCAGCTTTTTGCTTCCAGCATCTACTGGACCTCTTTCCCTCTAGTCAATAACAGTTTCGACTCAACAATTTAAAGACTACCCAAATAGGGGGCTTTGTTTCCACCAAAAAAGAGATAAAGGGATTTGTTGTGAAACATTGCAGGAGCTGTTAAGCTGAGACTGACCTAGATATTTGCTAGATGACTCATGTAGCAACATGTCCATTAACGGTCCAGTTTCAGTAGCAGCCACAGCCAATATGCAAATGACTCATTATCATGATCAAAGCAAAAGCCAGGAAACAAAAGTGCAGGAGCCAGGAGACGCCACATTTTATCAAATATAAGAGAGTTCTGGTAATTCTACCTGGTTATCAGAAATTGAACTTGCTGGGGGAGCGGTGCCCATTGGTGCATCATGTCTACCATAGGAAGATGAACTCTGCTGGAAACTGTTTGTGCGAGAAGGTTTTAAGCCACTGTGGGCAAATGAAGCTGCACCATAAAGAGGTGGGGGCAGAGGAACTCTGTCAGGAGCCCTCCCTCTTCGACGACTACTTGAGCAACAGAAAAGGAGAAAACTTAGCTTATGCATTTAAGCATCAATACATGTATACACGCCAAAAGAAAGAGAACATGAAATTCAGATAAAGCAAGTAGGAACAGGTTCATTTATTACCCCAATATATTAAGCTCTATTGTTGCTTTATATTGAGAAGGTATTTCCATCAAGGCTGCAAGAGCAAATTCAGTCTCTTTTCTGGAAACTGGAATGTTCTTTGACATAATTTCTGTAAAATTCACAAACTGAACAGAACAAGAAAAAGGTGATCATTCCCAACCGTATTTATTGATAATATAATTTCCAACACAGAAACCAACAGATAATGACATGGAAGAGATAGGAAGCAACATGTTGCACCTGGAAATTATCAAAAGCCCTCTGAGGAATATTGTCATCAAATTCCCTCATCATGTCCCATGGCCCATCTCCGACTCCAACCAAAATAATTGACAAGGGGTACTCACTGCAAGAAACAACTATATTAGAATGTTGATTGCCAACTAAATAAATAAATGATTGATAAAGGGAAAAAACTATAACCTTGCTTCCACAATTGCTTCAACAGTCTTTTGCTCCTGGGGACTTAGCTGACCACGCTCTGTATCAACACTTCTCGTTACCTGTAAAATCAAGGTTTCTCTCAGATGTAATTGGAATAGTAAGCAAATAGCTAAATGAAACAGATCTTGCTGTCATGGATGGCAACGCACAAAGATTGGCAAATTAATAAAATTATGATTTGGAGGTAATACCAGGATGTTATTACTGAAATCCCCACCCCATTGGTAATTGCAGTTTATCTCTCAGTTCTCTATATAATTATTATGATTATCTGCTTGGTCCTTTTTTCATGACATCACTATCCAGAACCAACTAATCCTATTTAGTCAGAACAAAATCCTCTTTCCAGAACTCCTTGGTCCTGACAGCACATACAAAGAGTGAACCTTCTTCAAAGCCACATACACCTATCATCTTGGTAAGCCGAAAAATAAATCTAATTCTAAGAAAGCCTTCTGATCCTACAACATAATATCTTCCTATTAATCTTACAAGTTGGAGTTCACTTTGGGTAGCCAACCTCAATCCAATCAAAACCTGCCAACCTCACACATGTTTTAATGAATCTTAAACATCATAACACATGATCATAGCATTTACTTAAAAAAATGGGCCAAGTGGATGATTTTGATTTGCCTGAGAAATAGTTGTCAAAGTGTACAAGTGATTCTTGGTGACAGTCTAGGTACCTAAGCAAAATAATTTTGCAAATAAAGAACCAAATTCTACGTCACTTCCCTGGTTTTTATACTAATCAGCATGCATATAAATTGAAAAAAAAATATCAATGCTTTTTAAATAATATTTAATTTCATCTCAAAACATGACCAATAATTATTATATAAAAGATAATAGCTTTTTTTCAAACCCCAAAATTTACTCCAGGTGGAGGGGCAGCCACCTTAAATTTTATTAATAAGCAATAAAAGATAATAGATAATAGTTATTAGATCATTTATTTTAATATTTCAAACATATAATAATAAGTAATTAATAGAATAATTACATGTCAAAAATTATTAGCAACTAAAGAAGGCTATAATTTTATACTGATAAAATATTTATGAGAGCTAGAGACTAATTAAAAGGGCAAAAAACAAGGGGTCAATCCCCTTTTCTATTTTATATGAGAGAGATAATAGGGAGAGCAAGTGATTGCAGGAAAAAAAAGAAGATGACTTTTTATACTTTCTCTCTTCTTTAGAGATCCCGAAACAGAGAATAAATAATATATGATATATGATGCAATGTATCAAAACACATACTAATAAGATGCAGCCATAGTAACAATATTGAAATAAGTTGTCTGCATCAATGTGAGTCAACCAATTGTGTCATGCACAAAAAAATAAAAAATAAAAATAAAAAAACACACAAAAACCAAGTGACCAGTTAATGGGTTAAATGATTCAACAGTTCAACTGTCTAGATCGATGGGCCATTGACCAAATCAATAATTATGTTATATGACAGTCAGATGTTAACCCAAAGCAGAATTTGATCAGGTCACTGGTCACCAGTCCAACCTGCTTGGTAAGACATGGCTTTCATTCTAAGCACCCCAGCAAGCGCACCTTGTCACCTAGGGAGTATATAGGCAAGTGCCTAAGTGACACCTTAGCAACTATGGCCCAAGGCAGCCTAGCATACCCCAATAGGTTGCAATCATAGGGCCTGTTTGATAATTGGAATTATCATCGGACTTTGGAACTCCAATATTGGAATTGAAATTCTTAGAATTATAATTTACAGAATTAAAAATTAAGTTTTTGCACCTGACACAATTGGCAAGGAATTGAATTTGAATATGGAATAGCATGAACTAGGTATAGGTCGCTAATCTAAAGAAAAACTACAAATAGAAATACCCCATCATTAGGGTAAGGCAAAATCACTGACAGTGACCAGATGTGGCTGCAATGTTAACATGAGCAGAAAATGACTACAACAGAAACAGCAAAAGGGCTGCAGAAACAATGATGATGGGTGCAAAATGCAAGAGAAGGGTTTGTCTAGCCAGATGCTAAAGGAGATTTTCTATGGGTGCAGCTGGGCTACATCCACCTCAGTAGTTGGGGTTGAACATATTTTCCTTGGGAGATTTTAAGGGTAGTTCAGGAATTTTATTTTTCCACAACATTACATCCATTCATGTGCCAGTCTAGTTGTTTCAAGATCTGTCACAAGATATATTAGATAAAGTTACAAAGTAATTCAGAGTCTATGATTTATCCAGTTTTATTGTGTCTAGATTAGGATTGTTTTACTTGCTGGCCTATGAAGTTGTTAAATTGGTGCAAACTACAAGGTTGGATTCCATTTGAAATTGAAGTTCAACAAGCCTCAATCTTATGGAGTACAGAAATACAGCTTGTAAGCAAAACTCTTTTTCGAATGAGGGTGATGACATTAATTAAATGTTACAGGCAATTTTTCTTCTTCTTGGTTTGGAGCTGACTCCAAACTAACTTGATTGATCTGACTCCAGCAAGAAGCTTTAGGTGCTGAGTCCTAGGTTATTTTATCTTCTTTCCTCATTTTATATAATTGTTTGAGAACTGGTCCATAGATCTAAATCTACTTTGACTTAATTGTTAGACTTGGTTCAACACTGTGGGATTGATCTATATCAGAGAGGTTATAGTTCATGGTACAAATTCAAAACACCATCACTGGTACTTGCAATGGAGAAGGGAGGGGAGGGCTTTGAGAGAGGTCTGTAATTCAAATGGATCCCCCCCTAACAAAGAACCAGTGTTTTGCATTCTTAGCCTAAACTCCAATTCCTAGAATTGGAAAAAAAAACAACCCTGCAACACTAATATTTTACGTCATCCCTTGGACTTCAAATTGGACCAATTCCAATCCTAGGAACTGAAAGTGGACACTTAACTTCAGGAAAAAATACAATTCTGCACTAAAATATGCATGTCATCACTTGGACTTGGAACTGGACTAATTCCAAATTCAATCAAGAACCAAATGTGCAACCACTGTACTTCTTAATACAATCTCAGTTGCTATTTCTGGCAGTTTCAGAACCACAAACCATACAATTTGAGTAACTCATATCAAATAAGACATTCATCTCATAATTTAAGCAAACATTGTCTCTTGAAAACCAGTATTTTGCTCAACTAAAATAGGACCTGGAAAAAAATGATGGTATACCTGCCCATCAGCAATTATCAATAAAACATGATACTGGCCACCACTTTGCTCAACAATGGTTACCGCCATTTCAATAATAGGGGCAAATGACGTCGGTCCTGACACATGAAAACAGAAAACATGGAAAAACTAAGGACCAAATGGCTGAACCTTTTCAAAACCACAATAAAGCAATAAAGGGGAAATAGAAACCTGCTAATCGTAGATTAGGGACTACTTCCCTGTATCGTGTCAATGCTTCTTCAAATCCATTACAGTCTCTCTCATCTGGATAGAAACTGAAGACATCTTGATCATGTGTTGAAGCTGCCAACACATGAAAGAGAGACACATAATCTCTGTGATTAAAATAAAATATGGTAACAATTCACTAAACACATCTTAATAGATAATTACCATCTCCAAATCCAAAACAAGGAATCAAATTATCCTCATCAAATGCACTTAATGTTCTTCCAATAATAGATATTGCTTGCTCGTAAGGATTTTGACTGTCTCCTAGGTGATGCAGGCTTCGCCGGTTGAATGACCTTGCGCCTATTGTTCAGTGCAAGTCAAGCATGTTTCTTACTACTCATAAAAGAAGTTCAAAGCATATAAATGAATTCAAACCTGTCCACTCATTGCTCTTTGTGAAATCAATACCAACAATGAGATTTGAAGACTCGAGGCCAGCCTGTGCAAGGGCTTCAGTGACCTGGAGTGAGGTAAATTTTTATTCAGTATTTGAAGTAAAAGCTAAATTCTTGGTCACTGTTTCCATAAGTGTAAAAGCTCTCTAAAAAATTGAGCAGAAATACACACACAATTAGACGATCAAAGTGATCCATAAATTCCTTAAATATGGTAACCAGACAAAATTTTTACGAAAACCTAATACCTATCTAAAGCATCGACCAAGGGGGAAGTGTTACTACTATGAGCAACAAGAAAGGAACCTTCATTCAAAAAAATTTGTTATTTATTACAAGTATGAAACTGTATTGAGATATCTGTATGATATTCTATTCAAGAATGCAGCCATAACATTTTTACTTTGTCAATGTAGATTCTATTTTAACTTGCTTTAACAGTATAATGTTTTACCTAGATAAGTTAAGGTCATGGAATTTACACTTTTTATCATCAATACAGTCATTTACCTATCAAAGAAATGAAGTGCCCAACTTCGAACAGCACCGATTTTGAATTATCCAGTAAGATGCTGTCTTATATTAAAAGGAATTCACTCTGGCAACCAATATAAAAGAATTTCAAGGTGAAAGAACACCAGTCAGCAATTGAAGTTGGGAACCAAACAAAGCCAGTTGTAATGACCTACTTTCACAGAATTGTTAAATGTAATCAATGAATGCCAACTAAACTCTAAGGCTGATTTGGATCAGTGTGAAATTGGCATTGGTGATGAAATCTCCTAATCACACACTTCAGGTCCATTTCCTTAGTGGAATGGAATTCAACAGGAAGTGGATCTATACCTTTCAATTTCCAGGTTTGCAGAGAGTAGTCATTGCATTTCAGGGGATCAGTAAAATGGATGAAACTTAAATATAAATGCACTCCCACAATCCAAACATAGTCTAGTTGCATAATTTAATTACATAAATTATATGGTGGTTAAATTTAATGTTTTATAATGTTATTAATCCTGCCACATCCAGAAAGTTAGAATATTCAGTTTGTATGTTTGCATTTTTATACTGAAAATTTCAGGAAGAAAACTCAATATACTTGTGCATCTTCTAGAAATCCACACAAGACTCATAATTTGTTGTGCATATATTTATTCCATGTTCTCCCTTTTCATTGATCTTCACCCCTTGCAATATGATAATCATATTCCAGATTCTGTATTCCTTGTTGCCAAGATGCTGCAGATTCTATCTAATTTTGTAAAATGACAATGGCAATGGTTAATGCATGACATATTTATTTCCATTGTTATGAATTGGATAGGGGCTACTCCTTGGTTTAATGATAAAATCTCAGACTGGCAAGCATGAGGATATCAGTTCAAGTCTGAGATCAGCCACTTCGTGCAAAAAATGCCAAAGGTCCAGGTCCTTATCCAATCCACCCTTCCCAGGACCCTGTAAATCTGGGGCTAACATTGGGGAATGGCCTCTGTTAGGATTAAAATAACTAGTCCGGTTTCTATTCTACTTCAGTAATTTTGGCCAGGCACTAAAAAAATTATTCAGCTAATGTCTTACTCTTTTCTTTTTCATTGCATTTCATGCCTATTGTTGCATTACACAAATCTGTTCAAGTAAGCATACCAAGTAGTATTATTGGAAAGGCACAGGAGAGGAAAAAGCATTCAGAATCACCTCATTCCATTATTTTCAAAGCCGTTTTTCCTCTATTATTTGACTTGTCATAAGGCACAATAAAAACAAGAATATTCAATAAGGCTACAGAATACAGCAAGCCAGGGGAAGTACTCAAACCAGCAGACATGTTTATGTGCCTTGACATGAGGTTTTGTGAAAAGTGTCTAGTGGAAACTTGCACAAGAAACAAGATGTTTTGCACAAAATCCTTCTTTTCAACAAGTTAACCTCCACCAATTTCAAGTCTCCTAAAGGCCATTATACCAATAGTTGGCAAGACACCAGAAATCAAATATGGTAGAGTGGCGGATGCATGTCCACCACTTCATAACTGAGCATAACACATTATTTTCTTCAAGGGAAGTGGAAATTCTTGGAACTTTCCATTCATAAATGTACCAACACCTTCAGTACAGACATAGATCACAGTTCCAGAGCTTTTTATACAGTAATTATTGGATTCCAGAGTTTTTGCCTGCAGGAGATCTGGGCTCGATTCTACTATCTACTATCATCTAGAATCATTGGCTTCAAACCCTCCTCTTTCCAAATCCTTTCTGGAATCCAATACCCGTGGTTAAACAACAAAGTAACATGCATCAAAGAATTGAAACCGTGCATGACGCGAAAATAACAAAAGAGAGGATGTTCAAAATAAAACATCTCGGAAAGTATGGTCTAACCTGTTCCAAGGAATTGTAGTTATCAGCTATCCTTGAGTACCTCCTTTCCAACTTCCTTCTTGGATCTGGGGGCCGATAATCATAGTTTTCAGGTGGAGGAGTATAGTGATTCTGTGGCGCATAATTTTGCTGAGAAGCATAGTTTTGCTGGGAAGCATAATTTGGATTGTGTGGTGTGTATGGTGACTGTGGATAACCATGACGACCCCATGAAGAACTAGAGCCAAAAGAAGAAGACTGTCTCCAACTGGTCGACCTTGAATTTTTACCCCCCATTAACTCTGTGATCTATCCTAATGCTTAACAATTTTGAGCTCTCTAATTTAGAAGAATATACACCAGAGCGACGTAACCAATTACCTACAATACGTAGCAAATTAAACACCATAAAAAATCCTAACAAAGAGAAGCAGAGAAATATTGTCGTTTCAGAGACATGTACTCATTTAACTTCAATTACAACCTAAAGCAAAAAATAATAATAATAACCTGTTCGAACAGCCACGCAGAAAAAATTCTCTTCTAAAGAAAAACGAGTTTAAATATCGTATTATTTTTTATTGCTTCTAGGCTATAAGGATCTCCGTCAAAGAACGAAAATTCCAGGAAAATTAGAAAAATAGAAGAACAAAGAAGACACGGTAGTTTTCTTCCAAATCTGAACGAAAGACCGAGAAAAAGCGGCTAAGAACGACCTGTTAAAACCGCCGACCTTCGAAAATACATTTAAGGGATAGGTTGAGTCCCCCTCTTCGACGCTCCTTCACTGCTCGCTAGATAGGGGCTAAAGAGTAACAAAAATCAGGAGACTCCAAAGAAGGCAGAGAAGCAGTGCCAGATGGCTTATGAGTTAGGAAGAGACCAACACGCAACGGGACTCATTTTCCACGCTTATTCATTAAAATTTTTTGAATGATAAATAAAGATAATACACAAACGCAACTTCACATGCAAGGAAAGGAAGTAGGGAGAAAGAGGCGAGTCAAATAGAAAAACTTGCCCAGTTCGAACTCCACCTAATGTTCATGTCTATATCCATATCTCTTAAAAATAGAAAAGAATCACAAATTTATCCGAAGAATGAATTTTCCAAGAAAAGACAATCAACTCGACCTAAATCCTGCCGCCATCGTCGTTATATCATTATAGTGCCTCTGTTCTGATTCTTTTGAGCCATAACAGACGAGAAAACCCTAATTCCTTCAACAAATTCACCGCTATTCTGTCAGAAAAATCTCCTCGAGGTAACAAGCTTTCTCGTACCTCGATGAGAACAACTGATGAGTTTCTGCAACAATTTCTCCATCGTTTTCCTTCCTTCTTCTTTTTCGTTTTCGTCCTTAACAAGGTTCCGCCTCTATCGGTGTATTATGTCTATTGTCTATCCATCCTGGAAGGATCGACAGTAGGCGAATAGCTGTGCCTGTAAGTGACAGGTCAGGAGATGCTCCTCCACTGTGCAGTCAGCCAGAAGCCTATAATGGTAATTTTGCATGGCACCTAAAGCGAATAGCCTTTTAACTTTTCAACTTTGGAGAGTTTCTTAACCAAAGATAATTGCTTTCCCGAAGTTTCTCCGAACAATGGCCAGAGCTTTTAAACATGGGGAGCACAACACGAGGGTTTCTTGTCATTTAATGCATATATAATAGTATTAGGACTAATGATGAGGAGTGCGCTCCTTTTTAAATAAAAAGGGATGAGGATGATTGTGTTGTGCCCTGCCAAAATGATTTTCTGGAATCTTTAGCTGATGCTTATGTCGCGTTTAATAAATTTGAAATCTTAAAAAGTTATAAAGATATTAGCTTGTCATTTGGTAGTGTGTAAATATTGTTGACATGATCGTTCTGTTTTTCTATACTTAGATGGCACTATTCATAAAATAGCGTGAATAAGGATGGGTCATATTCTAATTTATCATCTACATTATTTTCTTGTTGATGCTTCATACTATGGGCGGATAGTTTGTGGGAATGTTTCATTGTAATGCACATTTGTTACATTAGTCCAATTATTTTCATTTTATTTAATCTTTTAATAATTTTTAATATTTTTATTAATAAAATAATATTTATAATGTTAATTCTACCACTCTTTTTTGATCAACCTTTCAACATTTGAAATTTTCTACTTTTACTATTTTATCCTTAAAACAGACTATTTGGTATTTTTTAGTTCAATTTGCATTATTTCATAACAAATATTTTGTTAAATTCAAAATAATATTAAAAATATGAGTAAATTATAAAATATAAAAAAATAATATATTAAAATAAGAATAAAATTGAAAAGTACATATAAATTTATAAATTAAAAATAAATTATTAAGAGCTAAAATAATAATGAAAATAGTAATAAAATCCATGAAGTAATGAAAAAACTATTTAATAATTATAAATTATTAAAATAAAAATATTAAAATAATTAATAATAATTGAAATTAATAATAATTGATATAAATACAAATTATAAAACTAAAATAAATTATTAAAATAAGAATAAAATTGGAAAATACATATCAATTTATAAATTAAAAATAAATTATTAAGAATTAAAATATTAATAAAATCTATGAAGTAATTAAAAAATATTTAATATTAGCCAATTAATATAAAAACTATTAATGTAATTAATAATTAATAAAATTAAAATAATCAATAATTAATTTAGTGTACATTTGAACACAGTTGCTGAAACAGGGTTGTTGCAACTACGGGAAAATAGGGGGGAGAGAGAGGGATAGGGAAATTCATCGTTGATGAAGGAAAATTTGGCCCGACTTCATAATCACTCAACACGTGGCAAAGGCAAACAGCTCGGCACAACACCGCGCCCAGGGCGCGAGCACCAAAGGGAGGAACCAGCAGTCTAAATTCCCTACCAGCAGTCCGAACTCCCTACAAGGAGCTTGAACTCCCTAAAAGGAGCCCGAACTCTCCCTTAGGCCCCGAGCCTCACACAAGGCAATGACCCGAACTGGCCCACCTCATGGCAGTTCGGGACACCCCCTATCCGAACTCAAGACTTCACCTCGCTCACCACTCCAGCACTTCGCCTCCAGGACGCCGAACTGAACAAAC